CTCTCGCGTTCACACAGATCATTCGTGGTTCCGCTTCCCCTCTTCCCTTGGAGTCCGCCTTCATCATACCACAATAGAAGCGTAGTATTTTAAATTTACTTAAAAGATTCCTCAAGAAAAAAAACAACCTTATACCGCGTTGTGGCTTTTGCTCATGATGCTCTACATTACGCAAGAACGACATTCCACTTTGGCTCACGTAAGTTTTATCTTCACCTTAACTCCGGACTGACAACCCATGTTTAACGGCTGGGCCGGTCATCTTATCTGGCAGGTCAATTGCTATTCCTTTTCCTGGCTTTGTCCTTTTTAAGGGAAACGTGTGTGGGTGTCCACCGGGTTCCCTTCACATCATATCCAGTGATGATAGCCCAACACAATGAACAGATTTAGTATTACAAGATTGCGCATTATCTTAATGAATTGCGTACATTTAAAACAGGAGCTTCTTGGCACGTGGATTTCTCAGTAGTTTTGACTGATTTTATCACGTGCTACCTCGTATGTACAATGTTTGGGAGGGTTTATTTTCGACACCTTTTTGCGGCGTTAGTAAACGAGTTCGGACCGATTGTTAGACTCTTTCCGATGGCGGGTGTATATTATGATTTGAAGGCCAAACAAGACGCTAATTAGGATCAGGAATATTTAAATTTAATGAAATGCACATTAATTACCGTCTCTCCTAGTGTTATTCGTTGAACCATATTTTACAATTTCCCGTTGCAGTTTTAGTTTGTGTGATGGTCAAGCATTACATAGGCTTAAAATATGAGTTGGCATCCTACTGTTAAACAGGACCTTTGCCCCCAAGGCAAGCTTTCTCTTATGTCTCGTTGCGCTACATTGATGAAAACTCAACAACAAAAATAAAATACAGCGTATGTAACATCAAACCTCACGTTTTACTAAATCAGCCTCGGTTACTATTAACTTATAGTTTTGTGACGATTTACTTTGATGTCTCATTCCATCGCCTCATTAAGGGAGATGAATTCCAACTAACTTTAGACTCTATGTTTGAGGCCGAAATGAGTTTAGTTTCCCATGAAGTTTGGTTTGGAAAGGAAGGGCGCAGAGTGTACAGAGCACTGCTTTGTGGAAGCAAAAATTGGACATTTACACGCGCACACTAAAACTCAAAACCCCGACCCACTTGCAGGCAGTGGAATCGCCGAAGTGAAGACTATTTTGGGTGGTTTTGTGATCCGCAATTTCCTTGGCTCCTGGACTCTCATCGTCAAGGTGGCTGGCCTTATTCTCTCTGTCTCCACTGGCCTCTGCATCGGTAACGACGGACCCATGGTACACGTGGGCGCCTGTTGTGCCAAAATCCTCGCTCACTTTTTCCCCAAGTATGGTCTCAATCCCTCCAAGACTCGTGAGGTAAGCTAATAAGGTATACACATTACCTCCATCGCATCAAATCCTCCCTGATGACGTCGCAAGATGTGAGTCGATGTAACAATGTACTTAGAAGTAAAACTGAAATAAATAACCTGTTGCATGTCAATAAGTTGTCTTAGGGTAAAATATTTTTTTTGCCAGAAGAGGTTGCTCTACCTCGTCAACGAAGGCTTGTCACTTTGGAAAGTGTATGTGTTTCTTTCGTCCAGTTAATTGATCGTTATCGTGTCACTTTGACTCCCTCATTAGGCCCATCCTATAAACAAATTATCCACTTGGTATTGGTCATCTGGTATTGCAAAGGCACCATTCAAAAACCAATTTAAAGTGCTACTAAATGAACTCTTTCTAGCCTTGGTGTTTTGTTTCTCTTTTAACGAATGATTGGTGAGGACAGATGTGATGCTGTGCCGACATCGGGGGCCCACTCAATACTGGAGCAGAAGGCAGTGTGGAGTCACGATAAGGCGGCACTGCAGTAGTCGACCGATTTCTGATTCAAAATTAGCTGATGAGTACAATTACAGTTGCCTCTAATTTCTCCCAGAAAACACTACAAGATGTGTGAATCTTAGTAGAAAATAATAATAAATGCCTACAGAAGGGTCAGTGGACTGCTAACAGAGATGATATGTCCAGAAGGTCGTGCCACCAAGTTAACGACTAAAACGCGTAGAGACCAAAGAGTTGCCTTTTGTTGAAAATAGGTATCAGACAGTCGTTTTGATTTTGACTCTTCCCCTTTTAGCTTATTTCAGCGGCAGTGGCTGGCGGCATCGGTGCGTGTTTTGGAGCACCGATTGGCGGGGTGCTTTTCTCCCTCGAGGTGGCCAGCTACTACTTTCCTGCCAAGACCCTCTTTCGCTCTTTCTTCTGTGCCTTAGCGGCGGCCTACGTGGCTCGGGCGCTGAACCCTTTTGGGGAGGAACACTTCATCCTCCTCTCGGTGGATCACGATACCACCTGGCACTTCGTGGAACTGGTGCCTTTCGCTGCTCTCGGTGTTTGCGGGGTATGGCTTGTTTTTATTGCTTTATACTTCCGAGTGATTTCCGAAGGGGCTGTAAGGTATAGAAGTCCGAGAGTGGCATTTTTAAAGGCACACAGAAAAGCTTGAGATTCCACTTTTTGATCAATGCTTTCTTTTCCATTATTGTGAGGTCATAGTGATGTCGTCTGAACTTTACGTTTTGGAATCGCCATCGAAAGGGGAAATATGGCCGGCATATGTAATGTAGATTATTAGGGTGATAGGTAAATAAGTAGATCTCTTAGTGTTTTTTCTAGGTAAGACCATGGATATTTTGGGAATTCACTGTCGGAGCGCAACCGTCAACAAAGATGAAATACAAGCAATAAATTGAAAGAGTTGCTTGCCACTCATCTTTCCCCATATTTGATGAATAAGCTAACCTGGGTTATTTGTATCCTTGTGAATACAACCACAACGATGTGAGCGTTCGAAGCGTTAGTGTCGTGGGAGAAAAAAAGGAAAACTGACGCGAAGCTATTGTAATCTTTGACACAAATCTTGAAAAAGAGAACAGATTGATTTGGTGTAGCGTTTCCCACATTTTTTATGGGAAGCTAAGTCGTAGTAAATGGAAGAAGCAACGCAGACTTAAACGCATCGTGACTTTCGATAGGGATTTTAGAAAAAAAAGGTATTAAGCAAGGAAGCAAGGTGCCTTTTCTTCCTTTCACCATAGGGCATATTCGGCGCACTCATGGTGCGTTGCAACAAAGCGGTGCAGAAGTTCCGTCGGAAGCACTGCGCTGAACGACCCATCACCTACCTCCTTATCCTTACTGCTGTCTTCTCCCTCATTGCCTATCTCCACCCTGACCTGCGAGTTGAAGAGAAGCTCTTCATCCGTAAACTTGTCAGTAGCTGCACGGCTGGTGACCAGGAGGATCTTTGGTGCGTGTTTTCTTCCTTCACTTCCATTAACCCATTTCGTTCCATCTCCTGATGACGTTAATATCTGCGAAACAGAAGGGACTGCGAACTGGAGGTTCGTGCATGGTACAGAATTTACATTTCTGTGTTATCCGCTGAAGATACAAGGTAGACCTTACTTTGTTCTCAGTACTTCATGCTTTGCGTTGCTGTTGGCGCTTGTGCTATCTGCCTAATTTCAAAACAGCTGCAGAGAAGTAAAATTCTTCTAAGCTTCCTTTTTGAGCTTTACCTCATTCTCAGTTCTTCCTATTTTTCCATCACAACGAAAGGCCTTCAAAATCCAACTGTAGTCTGATGTGTTTGTTGTTGAGATTGAGTGGAGCCCGACTCGAGGAAGACTGAAAGAGGCTCTTGATGTTTACGTAACAAGAGTTAGTAATAATTTGTCACCAGTTCTATTAGTTTCAGTCCACCTTGTAAGCCTCAGTGGGTAGTTCCCATAATGAATTGTCGCATTTCGTAAGTCAACCTAATTTCGAAACTTTTTTTGCTGTTAACAAAGTGTCAGTTGTTACAATTCTCATACTTGACATGGCTATTTTGTATTGTAATGCCCCTTGCGTATTCCTGCTAGCTGATTTCAAGTTTTCCTATTATCATGGAGCGGAATTTACTTATTTTGATAGAATGATTTATTGAAGTGATATCTTCTAGTGTAGGGAACATATTTACGTTGGGGTGATGCGTTGATTGCTTGAGGCCTTTATTTATCAATACGTCAGGTAGACCAAGGCTAACGTCAGTTTGTATGGTAGCGAGAAGATTCCAAGGATTTTAAAGGGCGATCTTGGGGTTCACCAAACTTTTCGATGCATTAGGCCGTTTCACTCGAAGGAGGGAGTTGAAAAAATGTGTACCACAGGCTAATCAAAAGCACTGCATAAGAGCCTTCACCTACCAGGATATTCAATCGTCACAATTTGACTTACACGGGAGAAAGTTTTTGACTCCATTCGCCCTGTTTAGGTATACATGCCCAGCAGATTCAGCTGCTATTTTGTGAGCTGTGAGTTACAAGTGAGATGAAAGTAAGTAGGGAGCAGAATACAAGACACGGCACCAACAGACTGGCACATGCCTACCTGTACCTTACGTGTATGCGTGTAGACAATGATGCGCCTTTTGCAGATCCTTACAAGTCGTGACAGGTCATTATAGCGCGCTATGCCTAAAACCCCGCCGACCCCTTTGATCGTCTGCTAAATGATCTGTTAACACGTGGAAAAGTTTTGAACTTTTCATGCTTATTTTTCTTGCGGTTTTGGTTGCATTAACTAGACATGCATTTTTACTTCATATCAAAACACTTGGATCAAATACAGCCTTAGCATGCCAAACCAGCTCCTTAAGAACCTTGACCTGCTGTCAAATTCAATCTAAGCAGTGCAATTGATATGGAGGTTTTCTGATTTCACTTACTCAATATCAAGGCGCCAACCGTAAATTGTATTGCCAGTGACTACATTCGCTTACCGGAGGGCGGCTACGGCAATGCGACGATTGTGAGCGAGACCAACCTGGTGGGCAGTTTTCGCGCGGGCCCACGGATGGCACGAGGTGTGGCGCTGCTCTTTGGCGCACTGCTCTTCAAGTTTGTTGGACTTGTCCTCGTTTACGGTGTGCCTGTGCCCACTGGTGTCATGCTGCCCAGTATTATGGTGAGTTGCCCTCTCTCCTCCTTCCCATGAATCTGCACCTTGGCAATGCTAGGCCGTAAAGTGCGAGACACTTCCTCCACCCTTCCCTTCTCTCCGCAGTTGTTAGATGGCTGCGTCACTTTTGTTCTAGACAATTTTGGCAAACAAGAGGCATCATAATGAGGAAACAGTTGATGATCCATTATAGTTGAACAACTAAAGGTTTGTTGGCTTGCACCTTTCGCTTTTCTTCTACTCTAGATGTCTTTACTGGAAGCGTTATCATTTTTGTAGTTAGAATAGCGTTGTTTTTACGTCAGTTAGCCTTTATACCGGAGTCGTGATGCGAAGGGGTGAGCCATGAACGAAATCATCCAGTGGGAAAGTATGCCCAAACCCATTCTTGTTAACCGCCTTCACTTTTTAGCTTTGTTTCCCAAACAATTCGTTCCCAGCTGCTTTGGCACTTATTATCCTTTGGGGGTGGGGATGACCTCATGGAAGTTGTTGAAACTGGACTTTCTACTGTGGCCGATGGTAGCAAAAAATAGGCTGTTTTAAACTGTGCTTCTTGAATCCTGCACCATATCTCATATTCCAAAGTAACATAGCTAATTCACGATTTATTTATGGTCTGAGTGAGTTTTGGTAATGATGGTGATGATGATGGCAACTATTCGCGATTTCTTAGCTTTACGATGCGAAATCGTAAAGTTATGCCGAACCAATGTTGATACTTAAGAGAGTCTCGAAATACTGACGTCATTTCATTTGAAAAGCGGTCCCTGCTTCCTTTTCGATTCTGGCGTAGCTTTGACACTTAGCTGTCAATAGTAAACACGCCTACATATCCACATGTATCGCCGTGATTCACAAATGATGTACTCGTGGGTGATTCATCTCCGCATTGCGCCACTAGTGTCGAGTTGTGGTAGCTGGTCTGTTTGGACAATGCGTTGGTGGGTAATAGAGACGACAGCGGTAGTACTGTAATAATTTATAGAAATGGTTAAAGTACCATTTTCCCCTTATTTATACGAGGTGCAGTAGCAATTCATTTGAGTCTCATCTCTTTTCTTGACTCGTTCATTTGCCCTTAAATTAGACATGAGGAGATTGACGTAAATGGATCATTAAAAAGTCATGTCTTGCTATGCAGCCAAATTCCCTAGATTGCATTTCGCTTTTGCAACCTAAGAAACGATAGCATTGACCGTAGAATGGATGAAGACCCGGAGCTTGTAAAACCATTTCCAAAAAATGCATTTATAATGTGCTACCTAGAATGCTTCTTTTCATTCTCATGCGGATGCTCGATGACGTTGTCACTCATTGCAAATAAATTCATTTGGTCTTCAAACTAGTACTTTCGTTACAAACGGTGAAGAAAGGGGTTACTGGGTCATTGATGAGTTCGTTACATTATCATTTCTGTTAGACTGGTCTTCAGAATTGTTTACCATGGGATTTGTCGTCCTGAGGTAAGAGTGCCTGCGGAACTTATGCTACTTTCATTATGAAGGAGCATTGTTAAGAGGTATTTTGAATACTGCAAAAAGGTTGTGTTCTTCGAGTTTGAGGTCATACCAACACATGGTTAGGATGAAAAAGGCCAAAAGTTGAGGAAAACGTGGGTATTGGTTCTGCCTGTCTCAATTCACGACAGCCTTCAATTTGCCTGTGTATAGCCCGTGGGTGCCTGAGCAATGAATGGTGAAGCATTATTTTAAGTGCACATTTGCGAACCCAGGAGTAAAAGGTAGGATGTAGTTTGGAGACATCCATCATCCCTTGCAGCAAGCAAATTCAAGGTGCAACACCTGTTATAAACCATATTTTGGGGCATTCTTAAGCACCTTCTCTCGAAACCCACTGAAAACGTAGGTCAGCCGTAGTAAGCACAATGGATTGTGACATGCCTCTGAGAGAATTGGAAGCCAAAATCTATTTCGAAAGAAGGAAACGGCACTGTAACAATGTCAACACCCGCCCCTACATTGCAGCTTCACATGCAAACGATTTTTTGTCAAGTAAATTGCGAAATCATGGAACACGGCTTTATGGTCTGAATTTTCAGAGGCAACGAATTACTACCTCTGAGTAGCTTAACTATGTTTAAGCAAGGCAAGGTTACCATAAGTCCGTGATGTTTGAACGACGTTTTTCATTCGAAACAGACATTCCTTTCGGTAATGACATTGAAGAAGTAGCTAAGATGCTGGGACCATCACGTCACGAGGTGAGGTGGTTGCGCACGAAATTGACTGATGTAACTCAGGAGTGTTAATAGGTGCACCAACTTTTTCCAATCAAAAACGCATCTTAGCTCTATTTGTGTAAATCAGTCCTAAGATTCGGCACTAAGGTGGCAATATTGGTTCAATTTGTGGTTGTCCGAATGAATGTTGGTTTTGTTTTTGCAAGAATGTTGGTGCTATTGGTTTATAAGGTGAAATGGTCCCCATTTTTACTTAACTTCTTCTGCTATTCTCTTGTTAAACTACTTTGAGCTTGTAAAAGGTTTGTCACCTTGGGTGTAGCTTTTCAACTAAATAACTCGAAATTACTTTTGTTTCATTAATACTCCCTTAAGAAAGTACTCCTCGGAGTCGTTAAATATTGGGCACTTTTTACTGTCTTCCTTCACCCCTTATCCTATTTTTGTACCTCCCGATGAATTTTTCTGTCTCATAATATCCATCAACATTTCAGTGTAATTTGACGCAGTGACACCCTTTCCTACGACTGCATAATTTACTTCCCTTTGTGTGATGGACGAAGTATATTGACGTTATCGTCGGAAAAATGTGCTCTGGAAAATGTTTTTGCTGTTCTTGCATTCTGATTTGTTTTTTTTTTGAAGCATAGCTTTTGAATACAAACGTTTGCTTAATTGTAGTTCGGACCTTGAGTTGCCCACAAATCACCAGCTTACCTCCATTGTCTTGGCATCATTTTTATCTTTCATCCCTCCTGCCATCTGCTTATTCCTTTACAAATTCCTGCATCGTTTTAACTGGAAATTTATGTAAACTGTTTAGTCAGGGCTGTCTCTTCGTTCCTTTCCTCACTCAGAAATTCTAGTACTTTGCTGTCCATCGGAATGCTAATGAACATCAAAAAAAGTCTAAATGCATAATCAAACACCCCCATTTGCCCTTATCTCACGTCGAGTATTTGCATTCTTTAAAATACCATTTCTTCTTTTCAGAATTTCCCTTACTTTGTCCACATGTTCATGTAGGATGGAGAAATTTGATCCTCTCTTACAAAGCCGTTTGAAAACACCAAAACATTGAGGTGGTCAGAGCGTTAGTCGGAATGAGCATGGGTTAGAGGCACATCATATTCTTTTAATTTAGCTAGCTGGCTTGTCGATCTTCGTCTACGGTTCCCATCCTGGCATTGTTAATGCTCTTATGTAACATTCCGATTTTAAAAGTTTCTTTTTTGTTATAATTTTCTCTCATTCAGCATAAATGTTTGTGGTTTTTTAACGTCTGTCTCTTATTCACATCCATCAAAAAACTTAAGCGCCAAGCGCGTCAGAGGGCTGGCTAGGCTGAGGGTGATTCTTAGCCATGCGACATTTATTCCTCTTTCGGTCAATTGGTTTAGCAAGATGGTGTTTTTATCGAAACTTGTATGATAGCTGAAGTTCATTCGCTACTCATTCATTTCTTAAATTAAGGAATAGACAGTACCATGAGCCCGTACTCATTTGCGTGAGATTGGATCTTGTCGAGTTCTTAGAGTAGTTAGCGGGCGAAAACTTCGATGCAGATGTCTTTGTACGCCGAAGAGTACGCAAGAGCAAGAGGGTGTACCATGTGCATACGCAGCGGTAACCTGTCTAGTGGAGATATGCGGTGGTTTCCCGTCTCGTGTGTTTAAAATGTTTAATTTACCTTGATTTTACAGTTCGTAGTAGGCCACTTAAAGCACATCTATACGTGTTATCGGCCATTCAGGATGAAGGCCCGAGGATTCGCCACGAAAATTGTCGCTTCTAGCAAATCGAAATTGGAAGGGTTTCGGGGGTTGTAAGTGCGTTTCCACCAATCGAATCGCCGTCTTGGTGCACAAGGCAGGCCAACCTGGGTGTTTACCTCTCTTCCATCCTGTCAACCAAAGTCTACATATGGAAGCGGTATTTGGGGGGTATGCAGTAGCATATCCATCGGTAAAGTACCATTCTTGGAGTCCTCGTTACTCAGGCATCTGTTTATGTCCTTTTAGACCACAATACATTTCCGCGCGATTTTTCTCCCCAAAATCCCCTGCCACTTTTAAGGATTTTACATGCTACTAAAATATGAGGTAGGTTAGAGTAGTGGCTAGCTTAGGTATGATTCTCATATGTATCTCACCTATTTCTCTCTTAGTTAAAACGCATAGTGAGCCGGCATATCCTTCAAACCTTTTACAATAACTGAACTATATCACCACCTTAAGCCATAATAAATCGTAAGATTGTTTTTGTGCTTTCTTCTAAACTTATCGGAATAGCGGGTGTTTTCTCTTTCCAGAGCTGTTTTTTTCCCAGTTTCGATGATGTAATTTTTCGGTAGAATTGAAAAATGTAATTGTTAGTCCTCTTTCATCTTTATGAAAGCATTTTAAAACCGTGGTGTTCCTAAATCAGCTTAAGTATGGTTTCTATACATGTCGTATCCCTTAGTTGAAAGGTTTAGAAAACCGGGGACTTTAAGTTCCGGTTGCTGCATGAGTACTGTCACACGCTCCCGGATTTTTTTCTCGTCCCTTTATTCTTTGTCGACTGTTTTCCCTGAGTTGGTTCTATACTTAGGGCCTTTCCACAGCCTACTTGATTGTTCTGATATGGTTTATCTTCTCCCTCTAAAGCCTATTTGATCTCACATTTACTCGTCTCTCATTTTACTGAGAAATGGCAAGCCGACTGTTGCTTCTACCTAGGTGGGAGCCATCCTGGGCCGCCTGATGGGAATAATGGTGGAGCAGATAGTGGTGACGCAGATGTCGCACTCACTCTTCTACCATCGCCTCTGTAAACCCGGCCATCCCTGCATCGACACCAGCCTCTACGCGGTGGTTGGTGCTGCCGCCTGCCTGGGTGGGGTCACGCGTGCCACTGTTTCCCTTGTTGTCATCATGATTGAACTAATTGGCGGGTAGGCTCACTTCATTCATTCACCTGACCATTCTCTCTCTCGTCCTCGCTTCTTTCCAGTACTCCATTTCACGGACATCGTATGCTACCTTTTTCTCTTATTAAATCAGTTTAATTTGCTCTTTTAAAAATTGACGTTTTCAAGACTACTATGATTTTTCCTGTTTTCATTTACAGGTATCTGAAATAGTTTGTGCATCCTTGAGTTGTAGCGTATTGTTTGGCAGTCCATATGCGATTGGCTGTGTCTGCAGCCCAAGATACCCGTTCTCTGCAGTTGTATAGTCTTGTAGACTTGCACGTTTTAGAATGTATTACGTGGGAAGCGTGTGGATTATTTGGCGATAACCAAACAAACGAACATTGGGGAACATAATCACAAAAGCCATTTAGCCAGTGAACGAACGAGCTGAAAAGCATAAATGACTTTTATTAAGTATGCAAACGAAGTGATGAATAGAAAGTTCTCTAAGACCGCTTAGCCTGCAACACGATCTTGGCTTCTCAGTTGATGCAGGTTTAAACTGCTTTTTTATTATCACGCACGCTAAGATCAACTGCAGTTATTTTGGCTAGTATCCCTATTCTTGACGAGTAAAGACAAATTTTCTCGAACTTGATATGTCAGCATCTTTGAGTGATTTACCGGTGTAATTCACGCTTCTCTGGGGAGTGTGTTCTGTTACTGCATGCCACCCCTTCTCTAACTTCTGCACGACTGATTGTACGAGGTGAGAAGCTTAGCTCTGAAATCGAGTTAAACTGGGTTCATAGTCCACTAGACAAGTGAAAATCCTGTCTATCGGATTCAACCGATATTTTGAGATGAGAGTTATGAACAGGATGAAGGCGGTGGGCAGCAGAATTGAAGACACTGCGCCAGCAGACTGACACATGTCCATCAATGCATTGTGTGTCCGCATATAAACAATCTGCGGCAAGTCATTGTAGCGGGCTATGCATAAAACCGCATCCTCTGTATTGGTAGTGTTTTATCGTCGGTGTCTTCGTTTTTTTGCTACAGTTTGGGCTCTTATTGACGTTAGTAAACTAAAGTGACAGGCTATTTCTGAATCCCTAGATAGTAATGTGTGCTGTGTATTAAACCCCTCTGAAACCTTCTCTTATTTCAAACTCAACCTCAAAGTTGTCTCTCAATTGTCTTTGTCACTTCTTATTTCTTTCCCCGAATCAGAATCTTGACTCATATGCGCTTATGCAGCTTATATTTTTAAGCAGTACTACTTTCCCGTTATGTAAACGCCTTGTATCATTACTTTAGTTCACTCCTGCTAAAAAACATTGGAGTAGAGGATCTGTTTTTGAGGTTATTAGCTATTTTTAGAATATCTACGTTTTACTACTTTAGTAAGTAGTAAGTAGTAACGTTCAGAACCATACTGAAATTGTGGAATTTTGGAAATCTCACCTAAGATTCACTTTGTGCTTCTTCAGAAAGCCACCATCGAGGGGCCAATTGTGTAAATTACATACGTGCAAGTTGTGCAACGTACACATTTTCAAGCGTACTTCCTTCAGTCAAGTAACCTCTTGCCTTTGATATTTACTAATCTCAGTTGTTTCCATTTGATGGGGTTTCTTAACATCCAGGTACAAATTATTTCAGCTCCAAATATATTAGTGTCTAGTGGCATTTTGGAGTTTTAAGGCCTTCCATCGATTCGTACCTTATGTACACATAGCTTCTCACCGAAATTCCAAGCCGTATTTTTCACCTCTCACATGTAGCCGCTCCTTTGTTAGACCGTCAGACTGTTCCCCGTCTCCTAATAAGTTTCCAACTGTAGAAGGCTCGCTGATGCCCCCGAGTTCTACCTTATTCCAATTGTTAATTTATGAGATATCAGGGTCTCATCCCCTTATCTTCATGCGCATATCCTCAAACTTATGGAAGTCATGCTGATGCCGGCATTATAAAAGAACCAAGCTTATAGTCTTCAAAGTGCTTTTTTAACTACCTTTCATGCTGCCAGTCTTCGGAGCATTAAATTTTCCCTTTTCATTACCCCTTAGATTAAGTTACAGCATCCCTATAATGGTGGCATCCATGTTTGCCAAGTGGATGGGTGACCGGTTGTATAAGGGCAGTCTCTACGATGTGCAGATCCGATTGAACCACTACCCCTATCTCCAGTTTGACAAGGCCCCCGACAAGATGGCCGACTCCTTTGCTTCCGACATTATGCATCCTAGGTAAGTAGAACAGCAGTATAGGTATATCTTCGAATGCTTATTCCTCAGCTCTTCTCGAACTCTACCTATCGACGCTTTCTTGGGTTCGGGTATAAGGTGAAATCAGTTGTTAGAAAT